CCTGAGGCTGTCAGAGAAATTATGCTTGTAGTTCTGTAAAGAATACAGGTAGTGGACTTCTATCCAAACATCAAGTATCCTGAAATCTTCGTTTCCCCTATCCCGTCGCTTTTTAATGCCTTTATTCTAAGGGTGAGGGGGGACAGGACAGGAGGATGTGACCACCCTGCAGTGCCTGTGTCACCTGGTGAGGAGGTGACAGCTGGAGGAGTTTCACTCCTCACCGCTCTGGCCCGTTCCTCTGGGCTGTGCGGGGGGACGCGGTGGGAGGACTTCTCCTGCTGAACCTGCCAGGGGATGGTGCCAGCTCTGTTGGTTGTGCTACTTGGCGAGTGCCCAACGAAGGGCTGGGCTGGGCAGGACAGAGCCTGCTGGAAAGGAGCTGCTGGGATGAGTAAGTAGAGCTGACTGGAAAGTCATCCTCAGGCTCGCAATAACTTAATTAAGTGTTTATTAGGATAAAACATTGCCAGAAGCTGTTCAGGTGCCTCTTCGCTTTCTTTGCTGTACTTCTAAAAAGGTTTTTCTCTCCTTTCTTTATGAAGTACTTTCTAAGGAAAACTACAGGGTTCCTTTCGGAGTGTTTTATATTGAGGACTGAAAATTTTTCGTTGAAAACTGGTGGGTGGAGCAGATTCACCCAGCTCCTGGCTGAGCGGCCCCTTGGTTGGAGAGCATCGTGTGAGATGCTTCACGTTATGGCATTGCTTTGGCATAGTCTGTAAACCTGTAAGGTTTTCTCTTTTTTGTTTTCAAAACAGTTTATTTGGAGTTTGTGCTTGTAATTAACGAGCAGAGCTGTGCAGGGTAACAGCTGGGGGGGGGCATTGACTATTTATTTGCCATCTGTAAGTTGTTTGTGGTTCCCAATTTTGGAGCATAATGAGAATTTGGTATGAACCAAGCAGTGTTTTCCAGGAGGAGCTGGGCAGCGAGTCGGGGAGCACGGGAACCGCTCTTCAGAAACCGGGTCTTCTGAGGAGAACGTCTGTGCCTTTTTGTGCAAAAGGCTTTAAATAGTTTTGATGATGTGCCTTTTGCAAATTTCTCCAAAATCTTTCCTGCCTGGGAGAAAAATTGGTACAAGCAGTTATTTCTGTTGGAGTTGCTTAAGCCTTCCGCTTGTGTTGGGTCTCTTCCCAGTGAGCAATGAATTACAAGTAGCACATCACTGGTGGCCTCAAGGTTGCTGCTTCGCTTCAGAGGTGAAGGGGCTAAATGTGGAACAGAAGCCTTCTTTCCCCACAGCTGAGGTGCTGAGGGGTCGCTTTCAGCTTTAATAACCCTGCCACAGACGTGTCCCAAGTAAGTCTTCTCCAGAAGAAAGCCACCTTGTAGTACGGAGGACTGAGGAGGAGCCTGGTGTGCGGATACAACACAACTTGGCTTTGTTACCTCTGCCAAGTTGGCTCCTTGTTTTCTGCTCTCCTGGGCTCAACTTCTCCCCTGACCACATCTAGTGTCTTTTAATACCCGATCTGTCTCCAGGAGGTCGTTTTGAAGAGCATGGAAGCTCCAGTAGGCTCTGGCAAACCAGATTTTATGAAGTATTTCAAAGCCCAAGTTATGCTTGGGAGCCATGGAGCTGTCGGTGGGGTGGAATCAGTAGTGGATGGTAGCACAGCTCTGCTGTTATGGTGACCACAGGTGTTTTGAGCCTCTGATTGCTCTTTTCATACACATATTTTCTACCTTCTGTGTTTCTGAAGGATCTCAGAGTGGAGCCTTCTGTTAAAGTCCTAGAGGAGGAATCCTCTCTCCTCTTTACATCTCAAAGCCAGTATCCAAAAGTGATCCTGCCCTGAAATGTGATGCTTTTGGGAAGGATCATGGGTGGGACCATGACTAGGATGGACCCAAATGAAGCAGCCAGCTGTGGGTGGTACAGGAGATGTCAGGCTAGTGATTGCTTATTTTTTTGTCCCTTTAGCACGTTGCAGGCCCCAAAATCAGCATTTCCCAAAAGAATGGTGTTAAGCTTCACTGGTACTTACTATTACAGCTGCTTGGGCTTTCCTATAAACTTCTTGCCTTTCTTCCCAAGATGTTCTTAGTGCTTGAATCTTGGAGCAGGGGCTTGGCTGAGTGTTTGTGAATTACAGGGTTTTTTGCCAGGGAGCTGTGCTGGATACTGATGTGTTGTGTTCCTGCTGTTAGGAGAGCCCATGGCCAGTGATGCTGAGTGCCCTCCTCCGCCCAGCAAGTGTCCCCAAAATAACGAGCTGGCAAAATAACGAGCTGCTCTTTTCCCAAGGGTTGATGATGGCCACCTCCTGCCCTGGCTCCTGCTCTGCCTGACCTCCCTGCTCTACAAGAATGTTCTGCTTTGCCACATTCTTCAGCTGTTCCGACCCTTCATATGGGAAAATTACATTCCCTTTCCTTGACCTGACCAAGTAAAACTTGTCATTTGTGGTTAATGGCTGAAAACAAGGCTCCCGGTGGCTTTAGGAGAGAAGGTGGCCTCCTGGAAGGTTGTATCTGATGGGAATCAATGTTCAGTTCTGCCCATGTTTCCTTTCCAAGCAGGTGGCTGACAGTAAAGCACTGGTGATAAGGGAAAGTGGTGGAAGTAAGGAGATTTTTAATCTCCCAGCCCTCTAGCTACGTGCTGCTTTATCCACTAAAAATAGTTGCTAATTCCACCTTCTGGGGAAACCTCAGGCACAGGCTAAAGGATTGCTAATATTAGTCATTGGCGTTGCTGATAAAATTAACTATGTGAAAACTGGCTGTGACTGCTGAATTCTTTCTCCTCCTGTGCAGCCTGAAATTCATTTGCCTCTGGTGAGATTGTAAAGGGAGGAGGAGGAGAGACTATCTTCTCGCTCTTCATTGTCCCTGGAGAGGCTCAGCAAAGCCAGGCATGATCTCTTGCCCCACTCCCCTTGTGGGTGCCAGTCTGAAAGCAGAAGTGTCCTTTTTTGGGACATCAGGGCACTGATGAATCAAAGCATGTTTGAGCTAAGTAAGGGAGAATTTTTTTTTTTTTTTAATTATTATCTATTTTTTAAAAGTTCATGGCTTCAGCATAACTCAGTGTTTCTCTAGTTTAGGCTTTAAGAAATCGTGTAGCCTTAAGGGCTTTCAGGGGATCTATTTGTCACCAAAAGCTAGAACGGCTCAGTCAGATATTTTTATATGAGAAGGGTCTAAAGAAACATCTGTGCTCGGTGTGCCCAATGAATTTAGATTTTCTTTTTTGTTTTGTTTTAAACTTTGGCGTAGGTAAAGATCACTGATCCATTTTCATGTGGGACAAGTGATTTATATTTTTTTTTCTGTCTTTAACATTCTAGTTCAAGTGAAACCTCCAGTGCATGGTTGACATCTGGTTTAATTTTAGAAAATAGTCCTGGGAGAAGCTTTGTCAGCGAGGAGGAGTGCTGAGGTTATGACAGACGGGGCATAACAGTGGGATGTGCTACAGGCTTAAAGAAGGTCTTCCTGAATGTGTGCATCTGCTTTGCTGGAGCTCAGGAAAATTTGATATTTTTTTTTATATCCCCACCCGGAAAATGGGGAGGTGCCCAAAAACGTGCTTGAGGTTAGGGGGAAATCCAGCTTTAACACAAGCTTTTGTAATTCCTGTAGCTATAAAAACGTAGTCAGCAAAGCCTATTGTTAAAGTGGTCAACCTCAAATCATGAAACGGGAAGATCACAGGCTCGCGCCGTGCTGTGCCCTGGTTCTTGGTGACGTTTGATGTCTTAGTGATGCTCTTGTCTTCAGTTGTGTTCAGGTAGAAGACTGCTGTTGAGCAGCCCCTGACACGTGTCCCTGGAGTCCCCAGGCAGCATTTAGCCTGGGCTCGTTCTGCAGAGCAGGGGTGGCCGAGAAGGGGAGGACTTGGTGTGTTTTAGCATTCACCTGTATTTTGTAACATGGCATTTCTTCAAATATATGGCGGGGGTTTTTTAACTCTATTGTCATTTCCTGGTCCTCATCTCTTAAAGGAAGGGAGTAAATAATTAGGTTTGGTATTTGTTTAAGCAGAGAAAGGAACTGAGGAGTTCCTAGTCTCCTCTTCAGTTGAAGAGAACAAGCCAACATCTTTTTCAAGGCATGGAGCTGCTGAGGTGCACGATGCCAGGGACTCTCCCATCCTGTTTTATCATATTAATCAACCATCCTGTTGACTGTGGAATTGTTTCTGGCTTTCTTCAAAGCATGTATGACTATCTTATCAATTTTGAGAAAAGCAGGAACCCTTAACTATGCAACAGGATGGCTTAATTGCAAAATCTACAGTGAGTCTTGCTTTTTCCGTGAGCCACAACATCTCTAAGAAAAATACTGGAAGAAGTGCTTAAAATATCAGCTGTTCCACAGAACTTGAGAACTCTGTACTACCCCTTCCCGCAAACCTCTCCCCTCATGTGACCACAGAAAGGGCAAAATCAAGGCAGTGAGTGGTGTCTGATTTCGGCAGCTTTACAGTTTCGCCTTCAGTTAATTCGCTGTGAGAGTTAATTACCATACAACTCCTAGACAGTAGTTTCATGATTTCTTAATCTGTTATGTACACTCATTTTCTTTTGGCTGAGTGCTGAAGGGAGACATTTGTTTCTGCAGGGCATCAGCTGTGCCTGAACCACAAAGCACAGGGTTAACAGAATCCGTAATTAGAGAGATGCGTGGGCTTGTGTGTTAATCACCGGTTAGAAATGTGGATCCCATCTTGAGTTTCAAATCAAAAATATAGCCATAGGTTAATCCCCTCTGCCTGCTTGGGTTCTAACTCTGCAGGCGGAACAGCACCAGGTAAATATTCTGCTTTTCAGTGTTTCCCTCTTCATGTTGTTCCCAAGTTTGAATGTTTGCAGTACTTACATGGGTTGGAAGTTGTTTACCGACAAAACAATTCTGTCTAAATCTTTCCCCTGCAAAAGAACAGGGCGTGCATTCAGAGCCTTCAACCTCCTTGTCGCGTTGCTCTTCTCCTTTTAAAGACAATACCAGAGTTTTCCTCTACTCACTGTTCCTCTCTTCCCTTGCAGCATCAGCGAAAGCTTCCTGACGGTGAAAGGTGCAGCTCTCTTCCTGCCGCGGGGAAATGGGTCGTCTACTCCCAGGATCAGTCACAGGCGCAACAAGCACGCAGGTACCTCCTCGTGTCCCACCACTGAGGGCCATCTGCTCGCTCTTCTCTTCCCCACTCAGCCTTTCTTGAGTTCCTTCTCACCCGGTGACACACACTTCTGTTTAGAATCATAGAAGGGTTTGGGTTGGAAGGGACCTCAAAGATCATCTAGTTCCAACCCCCCTGCCATGGGCAGGGACACCTCCCACTAGAGCAGGTTGCTCAAGGCCACATCCAGCCTGACCTTGAACACCTCCAGGGATGGGGCATCCACAACTTCCCTGGGCAACCTGTTCCAGTGTCTCACCACCCTCAGAGTAAAAAATTTCTTCCTGAGATCTAATCCGAATCTTTTTTCTTCCAATTTAAAACCGTTTCCCCTTGTCCTATCATTACCCTTCCTGGCAAAGAGTCCCTCCCCAGCTCTTCTATAGGCACCCTTCAGGTATTGAAAGGCCACTATAAGGTCTCCCTGGAGCCTTCTCTTCTCCAGGCTGAACAATCCCAGCTCCCTCAGCCTGTCCTCATAGGAGAGGTGCTCCATCCCTCTGATCACCTTCGTGGCCCTCCCCTGGACCTGTTCCAGCTGGAACAGGTGTGTGTTACACCAGGAGTGTGTTAAAGCCAGACCCACCAGTCTCAAGGTTGCCATATTAGTACTGATAGAAAAAAAAAAAAAATCAAATCTCAGTACTCTCTTGTTTAACTGACAAAATCAAAAAGATGAGTGACATCAGGGCAGCAATCGTGACATCACAGACACTTGACAACAACTGCCTCTCAAAATAATCATCCTCTAATTTTTATTACGAGGGAAGGGCTGGAGAATTGCCATCAGAACCTTCGTGCATTGGGCTGGGAAACTTGAGGTTACGATACGGGATGAGTAATTGAACTTCCCGGTCTGAAAGGAACCGGTTATGATGGAACCGGTTACGATCACAGCCTCTACGTGGCGATGAAGAAACCTCTGAGCAAAGGCAGTGTGACTTTTCAGACATGTGAGCAGAGTGAATAACACCAGTCGCTGGGAATTCCGCCCCCTTTATCTGCTGAAAGTTTGATTTGTGTTTCTGCTTTGACTCTTTGTTTGGAAAAGTCAGTCTGAATAATGCAACTCAAACACTTCAGGGTAGGTTGTTTTTCATTGTGTGTATGGTGCTTATTCACTGGTGGTGTTTTAGAGGGATCAGATAGTGTGGGGTTTTTCCCTTCCATTAAACAATCGGCAGGGAAAAAAAACCATCATTGAGACCTTTAGATTTTTGCATGTGGGACAGACAGAAGAGAGGCTGGAGTCAACTTTCTTTGCCAAAAAGTGTCCCCCAAAAGGTGATTTGGTTTGGTTCCAGGTGTAGATTTCTTTCATACCGTCAGACTGTCATCCAGCTCTGCATCTGGCAGAGTTACCTATCTGATGGCTGGTCCACCTCAAAATCTATTTACAAACAACTTGATAAAAAGAGTTGAAGTCAAAAGGCAATTAATTATATACTTCCACTCAGACATAGTACAAGCAATACCCGAATTGCTTCGAATGAGATGCATTAATTACCACTTATCAAAAGAAAATAAATGGTTCTGAAAGATAATTTAAAGCTGGCGTTTCTGATTGTGACTGAAGTGAAATGGTCTTCAGCAGGAAAGCAGAGTCAGCAGTCTTTTAAAAGCTTATCTTGACCTATCTTGGTTTTTATTCTCTCCAAAGTCCTCTGCACAATGGAAGCCCAGGGCGGTTGCTGTCTTGGCTTTGCCTTCCAGAGGGGACCCGCTGGATGGGGACAGCTCTGGGTCTCTCTTGTTGCCTCTTCCATCAGATCTGGAGACCTTGGTGGAAAGCAGTCGATTGTCTATTCAGCCCAGAGCTTTTAGAAGCCAGGTTGCCAAGAAAGCAAATCTGCTGTGTTGTAATTGCTTACAGCAAGATGTTTTGTGTTTAAGAGGCTGGCTTGCCTAAGGGGTGAGATTTTTTTGTTCCTGGAAGACTTTTTTATTCCTGTCTCTTCAGCTTATAGGGTGAGATTTAATGAGGCAGCAGTGCTTGTCCTTTCCACAGTTTCCCTGCTTGTCAAGTGATGTGAATCACAGAATCATTTAGGCTGGAAGAGACCCTCGGGATCATCGAGTCCAACCATCTACTCTAAAGTTCTCCCCTACACCATCTCCCCCAACACCACATCTAAACGGTTCTTAAACACAGCCAGGGATGGTGACTCAACCACCTCCCTGGGCAGCCTATTCCAATGCCCGACCACTCTCTCTGTGAAGAATTGTTTCCTGAATTGAATGGTACAGTATTTTTTTTTATGGTGCTGGGAGATTTCACTCAACAGAGACCTTTGTATGAGTGTGCACCATCTTTCTTTTCTGTGAACTTTTCTAAAGTGCCATATATGCAGGCAGACCGGACACCAAGGGATCAATGTGTCACCTTCCTGAGCAAAACATCTTCGCCACCAAAATTAAACCAGTGATGTAGAGAGTGTGGCTCCGAGGGGTGAATCGGTCACTGGCAGAGCACGAGGCAAAGAAAACGGTCTCCTTTCTGGGACTCTGATAATCCGTGCTCAACTTTCATTCCCATGTGTGTGTCGTGACTTATCTCTGGCACACAAAATTAGAAGGGGGGTGGAGAGCGGACATAACTTTCCAGTGTGGAATTGCTGCCTATGGATGCAATAGTGTTTCAAGTGGCGACGAGAGCATTTTCTAGGAAGGTTGACTAACCTTTCTGACCTGCCTTTCTAATTCGCCAGAAGTGCTAGGATCCAGCAGAAAGAGTAAATGCGTAACAGGAAATAATTAATGCCCGCACCCATTCCTTTTCATCGTATCATCTTCAGTGATGGAAATAAGTGGTTGGCAGATTGACTAGATATGGTACCAGCTGTCCGTGCTCTCTCGCTGGGCGGTCCTGTGCCACCTGGCAAAGGGGCTGTGTTCTGTGGGCTGGTGGGCTTGCTTTCGTGCTCCCGAGGATGCTGGAGGCCAGAAAAAGATGAGGCTTTCCTGGGGCTTTTGCCATCTCTGGAATACTGTAAATCACTTTTAAGATCCCGCCCCAGCTGATGCTTTGCACCTACCCTGCCAGCTCCAAGGAAACAAAAGCATCTGCTGGTGGCTGGACAATGTGATAGGAAGCAGCAGCCGTGCCGTGAATGCCAGCCAGGCCACCAGCTCTTCGTAGGACAGGATGTGATATCTTTGTGCTGATTCTGGCATGCTAAAACCTTTCCTTTGCTGTTTTCTTAATCCAGGAAGCTTACAGAATGCCTTGTGTGTTTGGGGCTGGAAATGCTGCGAGTCGATTAAAGCTGGCCAAGGCAGGAATACTTTACTTTCCAGCTCTGGAGCTCCCGAGGCTGGCAGGGAGGGCTGGGGAACAGGGAGGAGCACAATAAACTTTCTGAGGATGAGGGATAGGGGAACTCCTTGCCTAAGCCTTGCAGAAAGGGTTGTCTTAGGAGCTTCCTCCCTTTTTCAAGTATAGAGATAACCCGGTAGTCCTGGCAGTGTTTAGTTTTGGGTTTTTTTGTTTGTTTTTTTTTTAAAACTCTGGGAACTTAACTTCTTAAAGTGGTTCCTAATGTTGAATTGCTGGCATCAAGAGACGGGAACTGTTACAGTTTGGGGAGGGTAAAACTGAGGTGAAGCATCTTCCATTTCAAGCTGCCTGAGATGTGTGAATGCCTCGTGAGTCAAATACTTGCTGGGCTCTTCCAGGCTACAGGCAGGAGGTGCCACCTGAAGCAGAGGGACCTTTCTTTGCCTGTTGAGTCCAGTTCTCGGTGATTCCCACCGCACCAGCAGCTGGAACTTGCTGGACCTGAGCAGCGTTGCCAGGAGTTTGCACTGGTGTTGACGTGGGGAAATCCTGTTCTCCCACAGCACCCCTGGGAGGACAAGCATCCGATGGATGAGCTGACCTTTCCTGCGTTGCCTGTCTCCCTAAATAATTGCTGTTTAGGGAGGCACGTGCTGGCCACTCCAGCTCTGGGAACAATGTCCTTCAGCAGGAAGCAGCCTCAGGTGCTTGTCACTGCTGGTACTTTGTATGTGACTTCCCCAGCCCTGCAGACTGCCTCGATTTTTCCCACCCCCAGTTAAAATGTAGTCCTGGGGCGTTGACTCATTCTCCATATGCTGAAATGTGTTTCGGGGAGGAAGGAAGAGGAGAGCAGGGGATGTGTAGCCCACTCCACACTAGCTTGACCCTGTCCCATCAGGAGAGAGGCTGCAGCAGCCCTTCAGCCCTGCTCTTCACCAGCTATAAAAATCATTTGGAAAGTGGGTATCAAGCTCTCGCTGGGCAGTGTTGCCTTTCTTCCCCTTCCCTTAGGTGACACGTGTGGATGCTGCTCCATGCCTGAGGCTTCCTCATTTCTGAAAATTCCGTGAAATAGCACAGATTGTAGCACCTCCGGTGAAGTAGAAAGGGAGATCAGGAAAATTAGTCCACCTTCCTAGAAAAATGGTGAATACTTGCTCCAGCATTCATGCTTTTCCCCGCAGTGCTGCCTAAACTGAGCTTCCCCTCCGTGGGGGAGCAGGAGAGGGTGGAAGAGCAAAGGCCTCTTCTTCCCCTTCTGTGCCACCCACCTGGCAGCCTTGCCCTCTTCCTTCTGGGAATGCAGATTAATTTTCCAGGTAGTGATTGGAAAAAAGAGCCTGTGGGGGTGTTAGTGCTTGCAGATACTGAGAAAGGTAAGGTGCTTGCTCAGCAGAGACGCTCTTGGCTCTCTACAGGCTGGGGAGTAGCACTGAGAAGTCCATGCTGCAGCACCAACAGAAAGGTATCTCACTTGGCTTTCAAATGCTTGATGCTTTAGGAATCTGGAACACTCATCTCTTATATTATTTTTTTTTATACTTTAAAGTTACTGCGTGGATTTTTTTTTTTTAATTTTTCTTCTTTCTCTCTTTCTTTCTCTCTTTCTTTCTCTCTTTCTTTCTCTCTTTCTTTCTTTCTCAGCCTCACAGTGAAAGTGTAACAAATGTTTTCTAGGAAAAACTGTAGATTCTTGATTTTCCAGGTGGCAGTTCTTCAATTCTTAGCTGCTTTTGGGTGGGGTTGGTACATAAGTGTAGGTGGGCACGTGGTGCTCTAACGTGAGACTAAATCTCACTTCAAAGGGGATACTTTTATCTAGGTAGTCGTTCTGCACTAAGTAATAGGTTGGTGTTTAAAAAAAAGGCAGATTCCTGATTTGAAGCTTGTGGTAGAATGAGGTGTTGAGCCACAGCATACGGTCTGTTTCTACCTAATTTGCCTTATCTTTTAAAGGAACAAAGAGTAGCGAGGTGCTTTTTATTCCAGTTGAAAAGATAACAGGGTTTAGCAGGAGAGTGAGTGTGGTAGGACGGGAACAGGTGAGCACATGGAGCAAAGAGCAGCTGACTCCAAAGAGATGGAGTTTTGTCATCTCTGAGTGGGTGGAAGTGATGATGCTCACGGTGACGTGTCTGGTTTCTGGTGGACGTTCGTTCTGGCTGGACAGCCTGGAACTTGCATGTGATTTAAAGCTATTTTTGTGCATTCACCTTTCCCTCTCGCCTACAGGGGATCTCCAGCAGCACCTGCAGGCCATGTTCATACTGCTCCGCCCAGAAGACAACATCAGACTGGTAGGCTGGCTTTTTGCTTATCTGCTGTTAACGACTATAAAGGTTAAGTTCCACTTGACAAATACACCTGTGTAACTCAGGAAAGCAGTGGTGCGTGTTACCTTTGAGTGGTTTCATCAGCGGGTTTGGGGAGTCGTCTGTGCAACCACAAAGGTAGGAAAGCAGCTAATTATGCAAGGCCTGATTATTTGGCTGTTCAGTGAGACTCATTGTACAGCTAGAAGACTGCCTTTTGAACCACGTGCTGAGTACTTAGGCTCTCAAAAAGTACTGTAACAATTACCAGAGAGGCTGGGTAATTTAGTTTGGTGTCCTGTTTAAATCAAGAGTAGGTGACTTATGTCTGACCAGCATGAACACCCGCCCTTCATTTGTGTTCCTTGCTGTTCTCCTAACTCCTTGCATCCCGAAAGGCCATGGCTCATCAGGAAGGAGCATGTAGGATCCCCATCTAGGTATGCACCTGTGCTGAACCTTGTCTTTCTGCCTTTCTGGATTATTATCTCCTATATTGATGCAATGAAAGTTAGACATTGCTGTTTATAGCACTGATACGGTGTCCTAAAGACCTCCAGAAGCCAAAGAAGAGTGTGTCTAGGACATATTGAAGTGCTGTAGAAGGTCAGGCATGACTGAGTGTATCTGCATCTCTCACTCAGTAGCCTGAAGTTTCTTTCCTGTGTTGTCTTGGTGCTTCTTAGCAACGTATGGCCAGCATCAGAAGTGGTATTCTGGCACCTCTGGCTTGTTGAATCCTCCTGAGCTGCACTGGAGCCAGACTGATCTTATGAGTATAGCTAGGAAACAGCCAAGATTACCATGGAATCCTCTGATATTTAAAGTGACCACCAAACATATTTTGTCATCAAACTAAAGGACCTACTCCTAAACTTCATCAGGCACACCTTGCTGTCACTGAAATTTCAGTGAAAGTGATGGGAATGGGGGTTCTCAATGCTTTTCAGAATCTGCGCCAGGGTTAGAACATTGGAAGCTATTGAACAAGTCATTGTTCAGCAATATCACTGGCTACATTGTGTGATTTGGGACAAATTAGCCTTAACAGCTGAATAAGGACTTTGTGGGCTGAGACATAAACCCTTTTGTTCAGAGCTACATTTGGAATGCTGAAATCTTGCATGAGGTTAAGTTCGATAGTCTACTTGAATTTAATTGATTCTTGACGAACGAAGGGTGTGCAGAGCTGCAATGGACTCTCTCATAAAATAGTAAATACAAATGAGATTTGAAATATAAACAGTACTGAGAGAAATGCATTCTCTTCTTGTGTTGGCTGCTGTCATTCGGGGGGCAGACTTCACAGCTCAGAGGGCAGCAGAGGAATCTAATCCTCTACAAACCTACACTTAAAATTTGGAACGGCTCTTGCTTCTGTTGGAGCTATTGGCAGGGTTTTTTAGCCTTCCATGAGAGCAGGATTAGAGCAGTGGTACCAGTGTAAGATCAGTAGAAAGGAGAGGGAAATGAGTTTAAAGTGTACAAACTGATTGACCGTATTCCTGTAGCTTAACAGAGTGGGGACTTGTTCGTTATGTGTGTTCAATAGTAAAAGATTTCAAAAAGTTGGGCGCTGTTTTTGTCTTCAGATCAAATATCCCACTGAGAAATGTGTTCTTGTATGAGACACCTGCTCTCGTGTAGCGTGAAAAAGATGAAAGGTCAGTATGAACTTACCTCTTGGGATGTGTGGTTCATAAGGGCTGGTAAGATACCCCATCACACTTCTGACTAAACAGGAACGCAGCAGAAGATAAAGTTGGTTTGTGTTTAGGTGAGTCTAAAAACTAGGAAAAGTGTTGCTGGCCCTGAAAGGATTACAGAGATCTTCTTCGTTCATGGACAGACTGTAAATAACCTCCCCAAATTAAGGAGAAAGGTAGCTCTGTGTAGGTGAGCTATTGAGAAAGAACCTTCCGTTCATCAAGGTCCCTGAATAAATTGCCATCCTCCCTCAAATGAGTGGGATTTCAAATATCTTCATTTAAAAGGCATCAGACCACTTACTTGGTGTGCTCCTACTGTTGGGTGAGCACATGAACTGGAGCTTACTGGAAAGGTTAGAGCCCAATTTGTCATTTGATGGGCATATTAGAGTACTAGTAGTAATTTTTGAGGTTGGCTGGTTTAGAAGAATGTCAAATTTGCTGGTGTATTATTGTAGTAAATTTAGCAAAATACATCATCTGCTCCAGTCCTGGTCCTTTGCTTTGTGGTCAGAGCATAAGTGTTGGATCTAGAGACCCACGTTAAGCCATGCCCTGTTTCTCATAACTGGTCCTCTGAAAATCCCATCCCAGTGACTTGAAGCTGTGACCTTTGGCCGCTGTTTGTCTCGCCATGTTCTGAAGGGGCTTGCATTAAGACCATGCTTCCCATTATTGCTGGCCAAATTGGTTTAGCGAAGTAAGTTAGATTACATTAATCCTCTTGCTGCTGGACTGTCCTCAAGAGAAGCAGGACAGAGCTTGTGTGTGGATGCCCTGGACATAGGGCAGCTGTTGTCCTCCTGCTCCTGTTTCAGGCAAGTCTTTGTTTCTGTTTGAGGTTTGGTTCCTAATGCAGGTAATGACTTTAACCACCAAGACCTTGGTGATTGCTTGCTCTTCTAGGTTGAAGAGCACCCTTTCTGTTTCGCTACAAGTGGTTAGTTGTAGAAACAACCGTCTTTGGCAGAATTCACACCTTGAAGGCCTGACCACTTTCATCCTCCGTGTTTCCCAAAGGAATCCCAGTGACTCAAGGAGCAAGAAGGAAAATAAGGCTGGTTTTAGCATGACTTATCCCAAAGAGATGGGGTGGGGCACAGTCTCTCGCTGTGCGGAGCACATCTGTCAGCTGGCATCAGCATTTGGGTAGTTTCTGTTAGTCTTTGGTCCCACTGGACAAGTCTAGAAGACGCAGTCAACGCCGTCTCCTGCCTGCACTTGCTATTCCACCCCCATCACTAGAGCTGCTGCTCCTGCAACGCCACCGGGAAGCTTTTCCTGCTGCTCTCAGCATAGTCTCCTGCGACAGAGCACTCCAGTGAAGTAGGGAGCTGTGTTTTAGCTGCCATTTGCTGTTTTAACCTTCGTTGTAGAGTCTTGTGGCCAGAACTTATTGGCTAGCAGACAGGTGAGGTGTGAGGAGATCAGAGGGGGCTTCCTCGGGCCTCAAGACCACCTTAGAAAGAACCAAAGGAGCATATTGGGAAAAGCAGCCTGTTCCTGAGAGATCCCAGACAATAGTTATTCTGTGAACTTTTATTTTAAAGATGAAGTGACACTTTAAACTGGGTTCTCTGAGCCATGAACTGCTGTGGGCCACCAAGAAGTGTCTACACAAGCAGTAGCTCGGGAGGGCTGCTGGTGTTTGAGGAATTCAGGTTCAGTTTGTGAAGGATGCCAAACACTGTTTTGAGCTTCAACCACTGGGTCACAAGGAATTTGGCAACTGGGTCCCATCGCAGCTGGCAGGGGCCTGTCCACAGCAGAGGGCAAGGCTGGGCTGTGACGGCTCCTTCTCGCCCATGTTTGCCCTCTGTAGGCCCTGCTCAAAGTTCAAGTTTAACAATAAGGTAAACACTGAAGCCAGACAGCATCTTGGACTTGGATTAGGCTGTCCAAAGTTCAGATTTAGTAGACATAATTAAGACACTTCCTTTCTAGGGATGTCCTAGTTTCTCCTGTGACTAAAATAACTGCAAATGGCTTGGAACAGAGTCCAGAAAGCGTTGCAAGTAAAGGCTGCAGATGTTTATCAGCAAAACCTAAAATGCTGGGCTCCCCTCCCTGGGCTCCTCACTAACCAGAAGTCTGTCTGTGAGAAGATTTGCTGGAGTCACTTCAGTTCTCACTTCGTGGTTTCTGGAGGAGAATTACACTTCAGTGTAGCCTTTCAGGAGCTTCAGTGTTGGTTTGACGTTCACAGCTTAGCTGCACAGCTGCTTTCTGAATGCTGTTGATAGTATTTGATTTAGGGGAGCTTGGGGTGAAGTTCGGGCCTCCTCCAGTCCTGCCAGATCTCTCTTTTGGTACTGGGGGACATGTACTTTTGGTACTGGGTTATGGCAGGAGCAATGAGGCACAATGACTTTCACCTCTTCTGGGCAATCTGAATCCAGCCATGGGTGCAGCTTAGTCATAGGGACATCTTCACAGCCAGGTGTCAGGCAGTAAGGTTGCTTCGCTACTGAGCAATCTGCTAGAAGAATTCAAAGGACCAGCAGGAAACCACCTATGAATTAGGTCCTAGTTGTCTGTCCAGCTGCCTGGGAAGGTGGTGGAAAGAGTGTTGCCGGAGTTGTTGGAGCACACAGTAGTTTCAAGGAAAGCCCCAGCTCTTTGGGCAAAGCCTTATGAGAGGTGAAGAGCACATTCAGTGCCCGTCTATCTTGCTGAATGTGTAATTCTCCATGAAGCTCACCAGATTGGGACCAGTCAGAGGACTGTGGCAGCCAGCCTTGTACACTGCTGGTTAAACACAACCGTGGTGGGACAGAGCAGGCCTGCAGCAAGGTGTGCAGAAGGCACCAGGAACGTCCCAGCTGCTGAGGAAAGCATTGTGTGAGAGAATTAAGTCACTTGCCCCTCTTCTGAGAAGTGTGGGCCATCCATACTAGTGCAAACTGCATCACTGCTTCTGCGCCTGTCACTCAGCATGAAAAGGTGGCTTGTAAAGGTAATAGTGTGTGTTTTGCTGGCCACAATGCTGATCTCTCCTCTTCCTTTCCTTAGGCTGTAAGACTGGAAAGTACCTACCAGAACCGCACGAGATACATGGTGGTGGTGTCCACCAACGGCAGACAAGACACCGAAGAGAGCATTGTCCTAGGAATGGATTTCTCTTCCAATGACAGGTACTCGCAATGTCCAGGTGGGAGAAGTCTTTGCGTTCAGCCATGTGTTGAGTAAAGGGTAGAAACCATTCTCTGGTGTTTGTGCTCTTTGGGGACAGACTGCTTTGGATTTTCCAGCCTAACACTGTCCTTGAGACCCAGAATTCCCCTTTTATTTCTCCAGAGGAGGTGGAAAATGGAAGGCGACAGCATAGCTCTGAGCTTCAGGCTTGTGAGGACACTAAGTGCCCTTAAGCATTTCTGAATGGTGAGGTCCCCAAGGCCTGCATCTGCACACCGGGGACAACTGGCATGCAAAGAAAAGAAAAAGCTGCAATTAGAGAAGCTGGACATCAGGGTTCAGGAGGGCAGCTAATAAGAAAGTGACTGTCAGGCAGCCCCTTGCCAAGGTCACGGCACAAAGGAACTGATGGGAACGTCAGGGTTGCTGATGGCAGATCTCAGGCAACGTGTGTTCTCCCCAGACATCAGTATGTCATCGGGGTTTAGTGCTTTTGCTTCATTTATTTAAATTGCTGCTGACCTCTTCAAAAGGCTGCAGAATGTGGCTAGGAAGCAGCTTTTGCTGCTGGAGCGACTGTAAGCCAGGAGGCAGCACCCCATAGTAGCTCCACAGGTAGAAGCTTCAGGTTTAGAAAAGGACACTGGGAACTTTGGAGGGGGCATGGAGGCACCTGGCTCTTTTAAAGGGCTGTAATTAAGTCTTGGCCTATGCAGGGAGAGAAAAGCCTGGATATTCAAATCATTTTTGGAAGGTTTCATACGCATGCTTAGTTCTAGCACAACAGGAATGAGTCTTGCTACTGAACCTAGTTGATAGCAATTACTTTCAGGTAGTTAATGGGATCACTAGAAAATATTTTTGAACTGTTTGGATAAGAAATGGCCTTCCAATCAGCCTGACGATCTCAACAGCCACTATGCTTAATTTCAAGTGGCTCGATTTGGATGCTCAAGTGATGGCTCCTAAAAAGGGGGACCAGCTTGATGCTGCCTCTGGCTCCCGTCCTGTGCGTGTGTGCACAGCTGTAGCTCAGAGATGCTCTCGTGGAAGGGTAAGAATAACTTGTCCTTGCACAGGTTGCTGTGGGCTCAGAGCTTGCTGTTGGCTGTGATATGCCAGCACAGCCACCTTTGATAACTGAGAGCTCGCTGGTATTCAGTCTCTAATAACATAGCAGGGTCGTTTTAGCTTTCTGCTAGAGTTACTTAGGTTCTGGATGGTCAGTCTGATACACCCTCCCCTAGCCCACTTGGTATTTATAACTCAATGTAGACTTGTTGCTATGGTCTCTGATAAGCGCTTGCTGAACAGTATCACTAAAAATACCCCGGCCACCTTGGGAAGCCTTTTAAAAACACATCTTTCCATGAGCTCATCTCGTGTTGTCAACAGAAATAGCTGCGTGCCGCAGTGTCTCCTTGTGCTGGGCACCAGGCGCTCCAGGCATGTGCATTTACAGGGCTTCGTGTCTGCTGACCCTCTGAAGCCTCCAATCTTGCCCTCTTTCCCCACTTTTCATGAGCTGCAGAGACCAATGGGGGTGTTAGGGCTTGTGGAAATTTGAGAGCAGTTAGTGCAAAGCGTAAGAGCAGGAGGCAGTGGAATCCAGTTCAAGGTGCTGCTTTGATTATGGACCAATTTTACAGCTTTATGAGAGTTAGCTTTTTTGTTTGACAACCTGGTGCAGGTCATGTTGGGGTTCCCCCAACTCTGCCTTTTTTTCCATCACTTGCTTTCTGCTTTTAATTTGGCTTTTTGCTCAGCCTTGCAAAAAGCAGGTGACAGTGAGGGCTGAGAGAGGAGTGGGTTTGCCAAGTGGTGTCTGTCTCTGCTGGCTCTTGTGCTCATCCTTGAGGTGTGGGAGGGCGAAGAAGGGGCAGGGAGTCAGCAAAGGGGTGATGGGCTGTGATTGCAGACCTACTGTGCTGCCAGTCACCCTGCTATTAGATTAGACTGATGGCAGCTCCCAGCAGCTGGGGCCGAGGGACAAACAAGAAAACAAAGCTGTGGATTGCAAAATCAGAGCTAGAACCAAACCACTTGAGCCTGAGAGGGACTAATCTGTAAAGAAAGCCTTGAGCTGCCTGGAGACTGTGAGCCCCTTCTGACCTTCTGCAAAAAGCTTGCTGCTTCTGAATCCTGTTTGCTCTTCTCCTGGGTGTGTGTTAACCCTTTAAGCTTACTTGGAATTGTACCCTGTATCTGGGTAATGATCCTTGCCAGACACCTGTAGAACAACACTTGCTCTGTTTGTCCCTGAAGCAGCAGTGGGATCTTTTCATTTTGTTTCTAATGAGTACAAACATCTGCAGCCATTGCTGTGAAATTAAATAATCGTGTGATGCTGTAGTAGGTGAACTGACCTTCTCTTTCTTACTGCAGTAGCACTTGTACAATGGGCTTGGTGCTGCCGCTGTGGAGTGACACCTTGATCCACCTGGACGGGGATGGGTGAGTGTCTTTTGTATGTTCTAGGTTAATAGCAGAGGGTCTCCACGTGTTAGCTCACAGCATGGTGTATGGAGAAGGATTCAAATGATTGCAGAGCCCTTTACAGGTCCAGCAGACCTCCTGCTGTTGACCTGTATCGGGTTAGTAGACTCAAAGGTCCTAAATCACGGCGGTTGTGGCAGGGAACACCAATAATTGACTTATCTGTGAATAAACATGCACTGAGACAGTGGCTCGTGTGTGTGTTTAAGCTGGAGTAAAGGAGCTTTTACTGGTGAGTGGGTGTGTAGTGAAAGCTCCTTAAAGGGATCCTATTATGTGTTCCTCCATCACGCTCGCAGCAGGCGGCGTTGGGCTGAACACAAGAGTAAGAATGATGTTTCTCTGCCAAATAGACACCTGATTTGCAGACTCCTGTTTGTGCCGGTTACAAGGGCTCTCCAGTACAGTGCGTGGAATGACTTTTCTTTCCTTGGTAGCTGCCCCAGGATCACTTTAGCTGCACTCTGTTGCTCCCAGCTGTGGCACTGAATGTGTGTTGCCAAGGTAAACAGCACAGCCCAGCACTGTCCCACTGTCTTAGTTTTCGTTCCCAAACAGCAGCTGCTTTAAAAAGTTATCTTAGAGCTTTTAGCGTGCTATTTTGATCTGTTTGCTAGCTGAACTCAGCAGTGTATGCATAGGGCTACTCCTTCGCTGTTCTAACGTGCTACAAACTATCAGTTATTAACGGAAAAGTCGCTTTTGAGACACATTTTCACTGTGCTTATTTTTTTCCTGTCTCCAGAGGGTTCAGCGTATCAACAGATAACAGGGTTCATATATTCAAGCCAGTGTCTGTACAGGCAATGTGGTGAGTATTTACTATAATCTGTCCCGGTGATCCTTTTTCCAAGGTGTTTTGGCTGCTTGAGCTTTTAAAAAGCAGGTGCTGCTTTGCATTATTGGTATCTTGAGACCTACTTGAGCAGCCAGAAATCTCCTTCAGAGACTGGGAAGGAAGTTTGATACCCAAGAAAAAAAAAAAAAAATATGCCAGTGCTGGTGTTCAGCAGTGAGTTTATAAAACTGCTGCAGCCACATCTCCTCTCAGCTGGGGACAGGAAGGAATAGGGTAATTTTTCTTGCAAAGGGCTGTTGCTTTGAATCTCTCCAAAGCAAAATTGCTTTGAGCGTGTGTTTGAAATACATTTATTTATTTATTTTTTAATTTGTCATAAATAAGGAAATCCATGCTGTGCACATTTTAGGAGTCTCTTGTCTCCAGTGAGACATGTTCATTGTGATAGCGAGGAGGAAAGAGAAGCTGCCTGCATTTTTCTTGCCTTTTAGGGTGGCACATGTAAGAATGTAGTGGCCATGAAAGTATTTCTGGCACAAGCTTCTTTGCATTGCAGAAATACATCGCCTGTCAGGGTGTCATGCTACTGTGTCACCCCAGTGATTTTGACCTGGATCCTTCTGATCCCAGTCAAAGATTTAAAGCGAGCTAAAAATAGGAGAGGGGGATTTGTTTCCCAGCAGCAGCTGAAGAAACTTCTGACATCCCTCGTGCAGTGAGAGAGGCCAGACACCTAAACACCTCACAAAAGTCAAGTCCTAAGCCCTTGGTTGTGCTGTTCTCCGTGGCTCATTCCTGGGTGTCCCTGCTCTGCGCCCAGGGGAGCTGATGGTGCAGTAGGAGCTGTCAGAGCACCCTGTCTTGGACACAAACTCTGTGCATCTTATTTATGGCTTAAGTAGTTGTAGCAGGTTTTAGAGCCAGAGACACAGGTGCCTCTGCCCTCTGATTTGTGGGCACCTTTGCTGCTCTCCAGGCTTTTCTTGGCATACTTCAGTGAAGACGTGTAAGCTCATGCAGCGTGTGGTTATCCACACCCTTGGGGGACACCCTGCTGCTCAGTGCTGGGGGCTGTGGCTTATAGCACTGGGGTTTGTACCAGCTGGTGGGATGGGAGCAGCATCCTGGCTTTGGCTGCTACTTCGTGCCCGATACCAGCCTGAGGGAGAAGTTACAATCCTGCAAGAATTCTTTCCTTTCCAGGTCTGCTCTGCAGAGTTTACATAAGGCTTGTGAGGTGGCACGGAGCAACAATTACTACCCAGGGAGCCTTTTCCTCACGTGGGTCAGTTACTATGAGAGCCATATCAACTCTGACCAGTCGTCGGTCAATGAGTGGAATGCCATGCAAGATGTCCAGTCCCACCGGCCCGACTCGCCCGCCCTCTTCACAGATGTGTAAGTTGGTCTGGCTCTGCTGAGCCAAAGTGTTTGACTGTCAAGCACTGCAGTCTCCAAGAGGAGAAAGTTTGCACAAGAGATGACTCTTAATTAGGTATTAATGAGGAAAGGTTCCCTGTTCCAGGTAATAAGTGGACCCCTGGTTAGGTAAACACCAGCACTAGAAGTTTAGCCCCCCTTGGGGGCTCCCTTGCATCTCCTCCAGCCTCTGTTTTCAGTCTAGTTCTTTACCTTGGGCTTTAGGCTTGCAGATCTTTGCTTCTGCAAGGTAAGTCCCATGTTACTAGTGAGAGAGAAGTGTGGTGTCTACCTAGGCCTTCCTCTTTGCTGGTTTTGTCTTCTGATTTCCAGGCTTAGTGTCTCCTGCAAGGAGCAGGTTTCTCTGGACTTTGCTCTTACACTGGTGCGTGTCTGAGCACGTGTTTAGAGTAACACGGTCCTTTTTTCCTTACTCAGTTCATTTTGCTGTAAAGTGAGATGTTTATATATGGACTTCTGAGTCTGTGAGCTCACAAGCATCCTCGTGGGCATTTCTCTGATAACACCTAAGAGTGGGGACAAAGAGCAATGCAGTTTTTCATCGTTCTGAGGAGATCTGCAAGCGTGGAACAGGACAGTGTATAGGTCCCAAGCTGTCTCCAGCGAAATGCTTGGGTGCCTGGTGATACATGGTCCAAAACAGGGGCTGAGGCAGATAGGTAGACAGTTTGGAAAGGCAAAATTTATAGGATGCATCGACATTCGAAGTTTACAAGCCCTGTAATTAGTAATTGCTGATGGTACTGATACCATATAACCTCAAAGGTAGTCTGTGTCCAGATGTGATGCCAAGCGTGAGGGCTTAGTTGCCCGGTTTGCAGTAGAAGAAATGACTTCACAAGCCCCAGCTGCTTTCCCAGTGTAATAGTGCCATCGGTTGATTTATGCTCTCAGATATTTCCTGTTGTTGGAGTTTAGTGAGTGAATAATAATGCTAAGAAGTTGCTCAGCTGTGAAAAGTCTTCACACTTGATGGTTTTTTAATGTACAAGGGAGAGTGGCTGAAAAGTTTTGGCAGGCTGTCAGATTAATATTCTCTTGCAGCTTTTCATATATAAATTTTACGTGACCCACCCTTTGCCTGGTGGCAGGAATTGAATGATTTCCTGGGGACACCTAGACAACGTTCTCTTAATTGAGTCCTGAAATAATGCGTGCGGTTAAAAGGACCGGGAACTTTTCCTTATTTTTATTCCTGACCCACCAGTTGGACCCTTGTAAAGGAGGCACCATCCTGGCAGCCTTCCAGAGAGAGGGAAAGGTGGTGCAGGATGTTACTGCCGGGTCCCTTCTGAAGACGATGGGTGAGATGGCTCTGTGCTGCTGCTCTGGTGCAGCTTCCCCTGGTGTTAGTCAGGCTATTTTTGCAGCTGGTGATAAGGCCCCTGGCAGCAGAGGCTGGAGGAATGCACAGAGGCTTAGCTGCCCTCGTCTCTCCATGTAAGGAGCTTTGGAGCTGTTACCTTTCCAAGAAAGGTAGGGGGAGGCTGTGATATTGCTCCAGAGAGTATAATGCAGCCTTCCCAATTTAAATTTTACCAAATACCAGAGGTTCTCTGGATGACTGCAATGGATTAGGAGCGTTCAGTTGGTTGCTTTCATACACAACTGGGAATCTAAACCGGGCTTTGCAGTCACCTGAATTCCCTCCAGCTTGGGGGAAGCGGTGTGAGTATCTGAGACTCTGCAGAGCATCCAGTCTGTACAAGACCCGTTTAAAAAGTGCCATGAGTCCAGTTTGTTTCCTCTCCTAGTGACTCTTGCTTTCTTCTGACAGCCCAACTGAGCGGGAACGCACGGAACGGCTAATTAAGACCAAGTTAAGGGAGATCATGATGCAGAAAGATTTGGAGAACATCACGTCAAAAGAGGTGCGTGGTGAGGGAGCAGCAGTGCTCTTGTGCAGACTAGAGAGCTCTGTACTTTATGCCGTGAAGGAAGGCCAGAACAAAACCTTCTCATGGCTTCCCTGTGTTCCTCATCCCCACCCAGATACGCACGGAGCTGGAGATGCAGATGGTGTGTAACCTACGGGAGTTCAAAGAGTTCATTGACAATGAAATGATAGTGATCCTTGGGCAGATGGACAGCCCCACGCAGATATTTGATCATGTCTTTTTGGTAAGTCTGAATTCAAGAGTGAACACACCTAACAATTCTCACTCTGTCTTAATTGACACAGAGGCCTCTGGAGGAAGTTAGAGGAACTCTGAAGGAGAGATTGGCTGCTCCTGGAGTCACATACTCATAAGCGAGACATAAGACACTAGTGCTGTTGAGCACAAGAGCAGCCTGGCTTCTTGGCTCTACTAAATAATCTACACCCAAGCTGTAGACCCTGTCAGTAGAGGATGGAAGGGAAAAAGTATTCTGATTTCTAACTGCTTTTCAGCAGTTTGATTCCATGGATGTAAGACCAGTTTTGTAGCTTTAGCTGTCCAGGGTACCCACACACCAAGTTCTTGGAGGGTATGTGCGTTTGGGAAGGGCATCACTGCAGCAAAGAGGGAAGGAGCTGCTGGGAAGAGCTGTGCAACATCCAGGTGGAATCACACTCTTGTAACATGGAAAGCTCTTGAGTTCATTTGATCCAAGAGGAACAGAGGAGCTTAACAAAGAATCTATCTTAACAAAGATAAGTCACTTAAGGAAACATAAACATTTCACCTTTTAATGTTTTGCTTGCTGAGTTGCCTTTCGTTGCTGCTGGGGCCTGTCTTAATTACTGCACCTCCTTCTGGTGATTCAGCACCCTGCTGGATTTCCCAGCCCTGAAGCAACGGACACCAGTCTGGTTGGGCTGTTCTAGCCTATGAGGTTGGCTCAACTTTAAACAAAGCCATTCCTCTTGGACCAGCTGGTCTTTCCAAACAGAGACGACCTCTCCCAGTCTCCTGAAGCTTAGCGCGGTGGCTCAAAAGGGATGGTGGATGTTAACGTGAGCACTCCCAAGAAATCATGATGGGGTAGGGCCAGGAAACTTAAAGTACCTTCAATGTAATGGATTTTTTTTGGTTTTTTGCAGACTGTTCTCTGGAAAGAGAGATCTGTTACAGGCTTACAGTGCTGGTCTGAAGCAGTGCAGGCAGTTCAGTCTGCTGCAGGGCTTGGAGTCTTGGCTCTGAGTGCATTTAATGGGAGCAAGACCTTTAAAACAAGGCTTGCAGGCAGCAGCGAGGAGAAAAGCTGTGGCTAATGTGTGGAATAGAAGTATTTGTGAAGCAGCTCTCTGCGGTGAGGAGAAGTGCTGCTGGGGCTGGGCACCAGCTTAATTCAGGAGCGTGTATATACTGCAAGGCAAAGTCGTGGTGACGTCTCTGGAAGGCATGGAGCTGTTTCCTTCCAGGTGGAGACAGGAGTCCTGTGGGATCCCACACAGGGAATGCTAAAATAACTAAGCAGGAAATGAGAGACCTGATGATGTTGGTGATTGTGGATCAAAGGACAGGAGAAAGAGCTTTCACCGCAGCAGCATTGTTCTCCATACCTGTGGAAACTGGTGGTTCCCAGGCCTGAATTAAATTATTCTTCCTTGGCCAGAAAGAACAATATGAAGCTAACTTAAGCCTGGCTGGCTAGGGTAGATATGGCATGGAGCAGAGTATGTTTGTTGGCAGATACTGAACAGCAAGACCCCCACAGTCCTACTTCAGATCATGCACAGAGCTGGGCTTCACTGGGATTGACCTGGTCTGTGCTTGAAGGCAATGGATTCTGTTGAAATCTGGGCTATCATGGCGTGTAACATTTGCCCCTTTATTCTGCTCAAAATTTAGAGCCCCATCTGTGCTGAACCCTTGAATGGTGTCTTCATTATGATGATTTTTCTTAGGAAGCAAATCGGTTTGGAAATAACTAGCTGCGTTTTGTTTGTTGTATTCCTGAAGTGTCCAAACAAGACAACAGACTTGTCCCCCATTAGCTACCAAATGAGTAACATGGCCCTTCCCTGTGTGTGCACATCTGGACACGGGCTGGGAGTGCTCAGGACCTCTCTGCAAGTGCCTGTCTGTGAGTCAGAGCTCTTGGAGCTCCCCATCTCAGACACGGGGTGCCGACCCACGCTTGCTGGGGCAAGCAGCAGCCCATCCTCTGGGTGGACACTGCTTCTTCTGCAAGACTGGGAGGTTCTTGCTCTCAGGCTGACGGGGTTTGCGGGTGGGTTATGCTCCAAGGGCTGCTGGCCCTGGTTTAGGCATCTCCTGGCCCTGGGGTGACATGGGAGCAGTCATGAGCAGTGCTGTTCTGCTGGTGATGGTACTGCTTCCTAGGTCCCTCTTGCTTACTCCTTCATCTGAACCTGTCTTTCTGTTTAGGGGCTGTTTTAGGGCAGGGAAGCAGAGAGGATGTGCACCTTAAATTTAGGAGGAAGCCTTTGTCTGAATGGTTTTGTCCTCAGTCAGGGTTTATGGGTTTGAGGAGGAAGCAAGCAGCTTGGAGGCCCTGTGTGTGCTGCAGAGAAGAGAGTTAAACGTGTTTATTTCTCTGCTCACACGGGCTTTGAACGTGGGGAGAAGAGGTGTAACCCAACTGAGCTTATGGTGTTGCTGTCTTTGATGTGTGAGATGGGTGTTTCATGTATAAACAGCACCTGGATGGTTTTTAAATGCAGGCAGTCTCTCTTCTGTGGGGCAGAGCTGGCATCAGCCTCCAGGGAAAGGGTGGAGTGGTCTCGTCTTGGCTGAGGTTGATTTGTCAGTGGTTTGCAGGAGGTGCCAGCATATGGTGCTGGGCTCCAGGTTTGCAGAGCTGCATGTTACTTCAGAATAAATCTGGTTAATGGGGCGAGATAAGGTGCTGAACACCAGCCCTGTTTCCGCTCTTGTGTGCCCCTTTACTCAAAAGACTCCCAGCTCTCCAACACTTGGCTGGCCAGCTCCTCCTCCAGTTCACTGGCCACAGTCCCTCCCTTCATCAGTTGTCTCGCCATGCCTTCCTTCTGGCTGATGTGTCCCTTTGCATGTTTTCCCTGCAGGGCTCCGAATGGAATGCCTCCAATTTGGAAGACTTGCAGAACAGAGGGTAAGTACCTTCAGGCCATCAGCTTGAAAGCAGGAGCCTGGCCTCAACGCTTGTCTGTGCAACAAACTCTGTTCCATACCTGCTGTGTAACCTGAGTCTCACTAAAGGGTTTGCAGATCTGAACAAGCTCTTGCTTCCTCCAAACCCTACGTCCCTCAAACGGGCACCCTAAAGTAAAAGAACCTTACTCCTTGACCTTGACTGATGTCCCCTTGGCCAACCAAGGAGGCCAGTAACCTCATAGCTATAAGTAGTGAAAAGCTACGATTATTTAACTGGATGCTGTGTCCTTGGCTCTGTGCCCTCTGCTCCTGCCCGTTGTTCTGGACCTCCAGACTGCGGCAGGAAGGAAAATATGTAAAAGAGCATTTGTTGCTTTGAGTGGGGCCCAGTAGGAAGTAAAGTCCTATAGCTCTCAGGCTTAGCACCAATGGGTTCCTCTGTCTCCTGCTCTTTCTACCTTTCAGGATTCAGCTTAGAGTGTCCTTTCTCTAGGCCAGGTAGATCTAAGCACCGAGATTTTGCAATTAAATCATTATTTACGTGTTTGGCTTATTTGTGCCAATCCAGTGTGCTGAATTGAATTGATAGCATACTTCTGCACCCCGAAGAATCAGCCTGGCAAAACTGACTCTCCTCATTCAGCTCAGTCTCTGCTGCAGCTTCCCTGGGTCAGGCAGGTCCTACTGGGCTGCCAGGGATCTCGTACTCGCTGGGGAGAAGGGATGTCTCTCCCTTGTGATGCTCTGGCTCTGTCTGATATCCCAGCGTGAGCACAGTTCATAAACATCTCACGAGTAACCCTCAGGGCTGAAAACACTGGATGTAGCACACATAAATACCGTATGCTTTATCAAGCGTTTTCATTTCCAGAAAATTTAGGGATAAGAAATAAATCCTCCCCAGTAGCTCATTGTCTGTTACATCTCTCTCTCTAGTTATTTTACATCTTTGTTTAACTGTGGTGTTGCTCACAAGCTTATGTCTTCAGTCCTTCTTGTGGTGTTGGTGCAGCAGGAGGAGAGATTCACAAAGGGGCTTTGAGAAGGTGTTCAAACACAAGTTGAACAGTCTGGGCAGGAGCTCCTTTGACACAAGTGTTGCAAACACTTGGAAAAGAGATGGTGGGCAAGGAGTGTAACCTGGGATATTGTAGAGGAAGTTTCTATCCAGTGTGGATGGAAGCCCTTTTATCAGAGGCTGGGCTCTAAACTGCTCAGCACATCCTTTTGTCTGCGTTAGCTGCTGCTTCCTTGCATTAAATCCTGGTTCCCAAGGAGGTGTGTTATGTTCAGGACTGCAACTTCAAATGCTGTGAGTTTTGCCGCTCGCAAACCAAGGCAAGGCTGTTGTGTAGCAGCTGTCATATCTCTGAACTCGCTGTGTTCTGCACGCCCTGCATTTTTATCTGGGGTCTGTTTCCATGCAGGGTGCGGTATATCTTGAATGTGACTCGAGAAATAGATAACTTCTTCCCTGGGCTCTTTGAGTACCATAACATTCGGGTATACGATGAAGAAGCAACAGATCTTCTGGCTTATTGGAATGACACCTACAAATTCATCTCCAAGGCAAAGTAAGTCCTTTCAGAACAGAACAAACGCATTTAGAAGATGTATACTAAGCATTTTGTATTTTCCTACTGATTTTCTTAACTGCTTTTCCTCCTTGCCTACCTAGGATCAAAGCATTTCGATTTTGTAGCTTCTGTCTTAAGTGTTGGAGTTGCCTTCCACAAATTTTCGTTCTTGTGGGTGCTTGTACAAGGAGCAGGTAGAACTACTGAGGGGTTTCTGCCCAGCTGCAGTCCAGGTGAACAGTGGAGGAGATTGTTCCTCCCCTGGAGAGCTGAGAGTGTGCCTGCTGCTTAGGAAGTGCAACGAGCCTGCAGAGGTGCTGGTGGGAGGAAAGGGCAGTAACACATCGAGCAGGGTTTAACAAAAGTAAGAAGCAAAACCTTATAAGCCCAACACAAACATAAGCTGTTCCCTGTGTTGTGAGGTTGAACGATGAAGCCCACAGTCTGGAAGTGATTTCTTGTAATGCTCCAGAGGAAACTCTTCCCTTTAACGGGAGTAAGTGCCTGTGCAGGTCTCTGAGCTGTCAGTTACAGTGAGTAATCGGATAGCAGATGCTGAAAGTAGGGCCTTTTTACTGCAGAGAACTGCATCCCAGTTATATGAGCTGTCTCCAGTTAATTCAGCAGCCTTCTTAAGGGAAAACTGGTCAGAAAGCAGATTGGCATATGTTGCCTTTAAAGTATTTTTTCCATTATTGAAGTCTGTCATCTCTTCTCATAGCCTTTAAAAGCAGACTTGTTTGAGTATGGCTCAAGACTTACTTTCTTTAAAATGGTTTCTTTAAAACACATCATTTATTCCCTTAAGTATTGAGTTTTGAAGTGTTGCCATCTTTGGAAGTATTCCCCTGCCCAGACTATTTTCCATTGGGTTTTAAATGATTGAGCCTCAGTGCTGTGTACAAGGTGATAAAAGTTAATAATCTTCCAAACTGGGGCAAGAACTGTACCCCCTTCTTTGCCCTGCCTGCTTGTTGTGTTTGGGGGGTTTTTAATTGCCAAAAGCATTGCCATGTCTTCACTAATATGGTTTCAAAGTTGAGAAGGCTTTTAGAGTGCTCTAAGGCTGCTGTAGCCCAGTGTACCCCAAGCAGTGCAGACATCTCAGAGTGAGGAGTGTGGATGCAGGTACAGGCTCAGATGTCTGCGAGCGGCTGAGGTCTGATGACTGTGTGCACTCTGTGGCCTCCTGGTTTCTCCTGTGGGGACTTCACGTGGCTGGCAATCCAGAAAACTTGGCACTTCAAGGAGAAAACAGAAGGTGCCAAACCCAGCCTGTTGGGTGCCAACACTGCCCAGTGCACGGGGTTCACAGAGAGGGGCCGTAGCCTTCCTCCTCCTATTTCATGGCAGACAAATGTTTTTTCATTCCTTGGAGCAAAGTACTGGCTGCCCTTTCAGTGTCACCAAGCAGAGTAGCAGCTCATGGCACTCAAAGGCACTGTTTGCTTTGCCTTCAATAAGAAAAAAAAATGGATTAAAGCCGAAGGAGCTTCCATCTGATTGCAGAAAGGCGCTGCGCTGCACAAAAAGACATTTGAGATCTCCAGCCGTGGGGACTTCCATCTCTTCCATTCACTTCCATGTGGACAGGTAGCAAGTTTTTCCACCTATAGACAGTCCTAAGAAATGGGGGTATCAAGAAAAATCTGCCAGGTTGGTCCCTGGGGCTTTTGGCTGGATTTGCACCCGCCGTTGTCTCCAGAGATGTAGGTAGGAGCTGGGTGGGGTTTCAAACACCCGACTGAAGCAGCGTTGGTCTTGTTCAGCCAATTGCCAAACCCAATAATATGCTGTCAAAAGTCTGCAGTAGAAGAACACCTCTGTGCTAGAGGCTGCCCTGCACTGCTCAGTGTCTTCCAGGGATGTGTTTCTAAACTGTGACGCCGCATTTTTGTGATAGATGCCCTTTTTATTTGGAACCCTGCTCGATACCAGTGGGCCATTAGGGCTGAGTTCAAGGGTGCCATATTAGTCTTTAGCAGTCTTCATAAATCTCTGCAAACAACTGGGTTTTGTCCACTTTGCAATAAAAGCTTCCGAAGAGCTGTTTTAACAAAAATCTGTTAAGAATATTATGACCTTGTTCTTCGCTTTCTTTGTGTGTCTCGCTCCAGTTTGTAAATTGGATTATCAGCTCACTTCCCAGACTTCAGCTGTGGCCACATGTGTTCGATAATACTCTGGTAAAGAAGTTGCTATTTTCTTAAGCTTCTCGGAGGCCGTGTTTTCTATTTAATGATCCTCTTTTTTTTTTTTTGTCTCTCTCCCGCTTTAGGAAAAACGGTTCAAAGTGCCTGGTGCACTGCAAGATGGGAGTGAGCCGCTCGGCCTCCACGGTGATCGCCTACGCCATGAAGGAGTATGGCTGGAACCTGGACAGGGCTTACGACTACGTGAAGGAACGACGCACGGTCACCAAGCCCAACCCCAGCTTCATGCGGCAGCTGGAGGAATACCAAGGGATCCTGCTGGCCAGGTGAGTGGAAGGAACGGCCTGGATGACCCGTGTTAAGGCATAACACTGAAATGATTGACTTAGTTATTTTAATTAGACCTTTTCATCACTGCGCTATGTAAGCTTGTGGTCGTCGTGGGAGAGATAGTGCTCTGTTTTCATGGGTTATCTCGGCTGAGCTTGGTAAAATGGGTGCAATAAAGAGCTTTTAGGAGGCTGTTTGGCTTCTAGGATGGCTGTTTTTTTGAAGAGTAGCATCCCGTGAGCTGCCATCCGAGTGCAACATTCAGAGCTGTGCAGGCTCCAGCAGAGATAAATGATGTTCCTATTGCTCGTAACATCACTTGGCAGGGAACTGGCTTTGTCTCCATCTCAGCCCTACGGTTCCCTGTTGAACATGCCCCTCCTCAGCAGCTGGCCTGGTTTTATTTAGATCCCTTCGGTAAGTGTTGGTGTTAGGGGAGGGGACAGGATGTTCTGTGCATTGCAACAGCGGTGTGTTTATTCCTGCATGGAGTCCTGAGCCTGGTCTGGAGCCGGGCCTGGGTATGGGCAAGTGTGTTGTAATCCCAAGCCTATCTCCTGATTAGCAAAAAAAGACATAAATATTGCATGTTTCTGAGAAAGACACTTGTAAGCTGTGTTGAGCAACGTCTTCACGTGATCAGCTGGAAGGAGGTAGTGATAGTCTGTGTTTCGCCAGATTACGGTGTTTTGTTTAGGATCCTGGTGTGCTTTGCCAGGGAGCAGATCTGAAGCAAGCAGAATTACCCAACCTGAGCCTTCTGTCACAGGAGGTGGCCTTTAGAATGTTTTGACCAAAGTAATTATTTCATAGCTTCTCGGTGCTGTTGAAAGGTGCCAGCCTTATGCTGTTCTTACGCAGCTCAGGCACCCGTGTGCTCCCTTTGGGGCACATCACTCACCTCTGGCCTCTTGGTTTTGTCACTTTGGGGCTGTCCTGCCCACTTGCAAACACCTCCTTTCCCTTTTTTTGTGCTGATTGACCGACCTTTCCTTCATTGTTCTCCCCCTGCTCACAGCACTCTGGCTGTCTCTGCTGCTGGGTCAGGTCTGGATTCCCAATTTTTACACCAATGCCCCTGTGTCAGCTCCTCCTGTCACTGCAGTGTGCTTCCCCTTTCCCTCCCTGCACAGATTAGCGACCTGAGGGCTCCTTCCAGTTTATTCCCTCATCAGCTACACCCTCAGGATCTGTGTCTTCCACCTTTTTCCATGTCTGCCATCCTCCCCATGTGCTCCCCAAATGCTGACTGCCACAACAGCCCTCTTTTTCTCTGAAGAAGCAGCCAAGTTGTATCAAGTCTCGGGATAGATGACAGCAGAATAGATATTTTAAGAAATTGTGCTCTTCTGAACTGAAACCCTTTGAGAGAGACACCACACCTGCCTTTGGTGCCTCGTGTGACACCAAACACGCTGCTGGCACCAGTTAATAAAGGTCAGCGCTTAACTCTGAGCTAGAGGTGACCCGACCAGTGTGGTGTGCTGTGCAGCACCGAGCAGACTGGGAAAGTAGATCTCACTGGGGTAGAACTGGATGGAGGAAAACAAGCTTTTCAGATGGGGAAAAACATGCCAACATCCTTTGCAACAGGTTGGTGAACACCTGTGAGGAGCCTTGGGCTGGTAGCAGCTGGTGTATCACATCTCCAGGCCCTCAGCTCTGCAGTTGGTTAGATAATCTGTCAGTCTGGGGGTTGGTGGCATGCCTCAAAGCCACCCTCTACAAACATTTTGGTTAAGAAGATTTTTTTTTTTTTTTTCCCTGTCTTCAGTAATTTATTTCTCAGGAGGTAAACCTTTCTTCTGCTGCCATCATTTTTATGGTGTGTGGTTCCCCTACCGCTGAAGCTCACCACTGCTCCTGACCTACCCTGCAGGTCCCCACGCAATGGCACGAAGAGGATTACTCGTGAGGCTTTAAAAAATGCAAGAGCAGTGCATTACATCTGGGTGTGTAGGACTAAAAGGCATGCAGTAAATGAAGCTTCACTGAAGCAAGGAATGGCCTCTCTGTGCTGCAGAAATGGTCCCTCTTTATGTGGTTCCTTTCTCAGCTCCAAACTGCTTTTTTTTTTTCCCCTCTCTTTCTTCTCTGGGTTATTTAGCTTTGCCCTCTGGCCTCTGGCTGCCTTGTTTATTGCTGCGGTATTCCAGGACAGGTAAAAAAAACCCAAAAAACAACAAAACAAAAACAAAAACCCAACAGATTCACCCTCATGTGACTGCTCCGGTTTCAGAGGGAAGGTATGTGAGGGCAGCCATGTGCTCACACTATCTAGTTACAGTTTTGTGTTGGGCTTATAGCAACTGGGATATGTTTTCCAGCTGTAAAATGGAAAACCCCTGCCTGCTTTTAGTCACAACAAGCAGCATGTTTTGCTCTTTGTGACTGTCACACTTCCTGGGGTTAGTTAAACCGTCCCCTCCCTCCGGTGACAGACACGGAAAGGCTGAGCCAGCCCTGTTTCTTTCCTTAGTTATGGATAGGTTACAGGAAAACTGTTTGGGATCCCCTACGCCTTGTGTAACTTGTGAATCCACAGGAATATTTGTTTATGGGAGCCTGGGGAGCTGCTGCAGTGTGAAGGGAGGTGGGGAGGGCTCCTGCTCCAAGGCTGGTGTGGACACAAGCTGGTCAGCCCTGCTGTGGGTTGTTCTCCTGGCACTGGGAACGCTGCCCAGGAGGGTCAAGAGGTGGCCATGGGCTCCTCTTCTCTGACCCTGCTTTTAGCACCTCTTGCCGGTTGTCAGACTGGAGGAAGTGTGAGATTAAAAGTTAACAGAAGTGAATACATCTCTCCCGGTGGTTGTTGACATCTGTTTTGATGCTCAGATCAAGGCTGTGGTTTGATTCTCAGATCAAGGCAAGTTTGGTTTGTTCACGTGCTGGGGTAGTTTTGGCTTTCGACACCAGAGGCAGAGCAGAGTGCTGGATTCAAACACCAAAGCACCAGGGTAGGAAGTGCCCTCGGAAAACATCAACAACTTCTCCCCAGGTTATGTGAGCAGAGACATGGGAGACCTTTGGCATTCCATCCAAAACCTCAGCAACAACCTGCCTCATGGACAAGCCTGGGGCTGCTGCCAGGGTCAGACTTTGCTCCAAAACCTTTTAGAGGCAGGGCAGGTGCACCCCAGAGCAATGCCTTTGGCCTCTGGTCTTGACCATCCTCTTCTCTGAAATTCTCCCCTGATTCTGCCCTGTTTCTTTCGTGAAGTTTGTAGCTCATTATGGGGTTAGAAAGCCAAATCTGTGATGGATTATTTCCCTTAGCTGTTGGACACCCACGATTAAACTGGTACATTGTAATTAGTTCAATAGCATCTGTTAATGAACTTACTGCAACCCATGCGTGTGTCTGGGAGCTCCTGCTTGTGCAAGCAAGGCTCTGGAGGGGTTTTGCAAGGTCTCCTGTAGATCCGAGGACCTTTCTGTGGTATCTGCTCTCCTCCTAGGGGCAAACAGTGGAAGCACAGCCCTGTGGCCGTGGTCACTCAGCAAAGCCCTTGCAGACATGGCTACCTGGTGTGGTTTCACTTGGAGAAGTTGCCTCCTTTGCTCTCTATAAGCCCGGGGGCATGGGCTGGGTGGGTTTTTTTAAGTGGAGATAAGTAAGGAGGTGCAATGCTTGGCAGTTCCTTGGCCTTCTGACTGCTCAGACCTTCCTAAAGGGGCTTTCCAAGAGCTGGAGAACTCTTGAGCTTCCTTCCTGTGAAAGGCAGGTGGTGTTTTGGACTGTTTGTTGACTGTTGAGGATGTCGTCTCTGTTTTACATGCACCCACACCCACATCCACTCACCCCACCCTACGCCCTTGGTTCCCAGAGCCCTGTTACTGATCACTGGAGCTGTTCAAAGAAGGAGCCACAAAGAAAGTGGGATTTTCTTTGGTGTCCACCATCCACTTACATCCAGGACTAGGGACCCTGACTCTTCTGCCCGTTGCTCATTTGCTAGCAAATGGAAAGCTACTTGCTGGCTGAGAAAGGAGCAAATTCTGTAGTCAATTAAACATGGCTTTTTTTTGGAGTAGACTGATAAAATACTGCTGGGGAATGTGGAGCAGAACAGTGGAGAGGGATTTAGCTACTGGAAAGTGGCTTGTTATTGACTTAACTCCTCCAGCAGCAGATTTGGCCCCAAACTATTTAGGTGAAGCTGCCGTTGTGGTCAACGACTCCATTATTTGGCACGGTTTTTTGTGTAGATTGCATCCTCTTACAGTGAGGTGGGTCTGGCTCTGGCTCTGGTCTGTGAAAGCACTGCTCACTGTTTCCATTTGCTTTTCCTCCCCGCAGCAAACAGCGGCATAACAAGCTGTGGCGCTCGCACTCGGACAGTGACCTCTCGGACCATCACGAGCCCATCTGCAAGTCTGGGCTGGAGCTGAACAAGAAGGAGATCACCACCTCGGCCGACCAGATCTCAGAGGCGAAGACCAACGACAACCAGCAGCCGATGTCCCCCATCTACTCCGCTGAGCTAGAGAGGGAGCAGCAGCTCCCAGAGGATGCAAACGTGATCGAGGAGATGTGCGTGAAGGAGAGGAGGATCCACCTAGAGTTTACGTCTCGAGACTTCCACGCTGAGCAGATGGAGGACAAGCTGAACCTGAACAATCTCAACGGCTGTACGGCAGGATGTTGCGTAGACTCTGTCCCCCCTGATAACTGCCGTGCTTCTGAGGCCTTAATGCAACTCCAGCACCCCCTGGAAATAACAGAGTTTCCTGATTTGACGGTGGACGATCTGGAAAAAGATGCCCTTAAGCCTGATATGAACGTGCACTTGGTTCCCATGGAAGAGTTCACTTCGTGCTTAAAAGACTTTCCCCAGTCCCCAAACCAAAATTCCCCGAGTCTCCAACAGAACCCCCAGCCCGAAGTGACAGACCTCAGCACGGACAGGATTGATTTCTTCAGTGCTTTGGAGAAATTTGTGGAGCTTTCCCAGGAGAGCCGGTCACGCACCTGCTCCCATTCCAGGACGGAGGAGCCAGGGAGTGGAAGGAATGGGGTCTCCAGGGTGGCCGTGCTGGAAGTGCCGCCTGCTGCCGACGGTGGTGCAGATGCTCAAAGAAGCAGTTCTGGAAACTCTCCTCAGGCATCGGATGACTCTTCCACAGATGAAGAGCAACAAAAGGTTAAAATAATTTGCTTGGTTTTTTAGGAACTGCTGCTTGAACCTCTCTGTGGGTAGTGAGATCGCTGTGGACGGGGGATTTTCTAGTCCTGGCTTTCACTGGGGCTGGGTAATCGTTTGGGGAGGGATTGTTAGATGCTTCCCCTCTTCTTCACTTTTGGCCTTTTCTGTGCTTTTTCCTTAAACATCTGTTTGCTGGCAGTGGCAGGGCGCTGGCTGAGTCGACCTTGACCTGACCTGCTGTGCTGTTCTCGTGAGAAACTTATTTTTGAGTTTCTCATCAGGAGAGCAGATAGGTGGGACTTGAACCACTAATGCAGCTGAATCCTCAGCAGCTGAGGCCATCCCGAACCCGCGTGGGTATTAGAAATCCACCAAAGAAAGGGACAAAACCAGCACCTTTCCTTGGTTGGGAAGCACCAGCATTGGGATAGTAAATCAAGGCAGATAGAAAACTTCCTCTGCTGGAGGAAGAGAATGAGCCTGTCCAGGCCTGGGGTGATGGGATCGGGCACATCATAGCTCACTTCTCTCCTGGGTGGAGAAGTGTTCCTGACAAAATTTAGTAACCTCTGAATTGAGATACCTTTCTCTTGTAATTGCTTTCCACCCTCCAGGGCTTTTACAAGGATTGATGATGTCCGGGGCCATCGTTTTCTGGGAGCCTCTCTTATTTAAATTCCACGCTGCATTGCTTGAATCTTTTCCATCTCCATGTGAGGCAATAAGGCTCTTCCAAATATAATAGGCCAACGCTCTCTCCAGTGATTTGGCAGAAGGAGCGTCTGCGCGGCCGGGGGAGCCTCTGGCCATCTCCCTCTGGGAAACCAGAGCATTTCAGAGCTCGGTCATTCTTTATGCTGTACTTCTGTTTGCTCCCATACGTGACCAGAATCTTTCACGTTTTCAGTTCAAAAAGCAGCATAAGGATTATTTTTTTTTTTGTTAACTGGAATTTTCATTATTTAAAAAAAAAAAAAAAGGCGGCTAAATTTCCCTTGGAATTTGTGGCAATTAAATAAAAGTTCTTAAATCTCAGTCTAGGTGAAAATCCAGCCTGGAATATGTCTCAGAGACAATAGTGGTTCTACATTAGTGATCACGGCCCTTGTAATCCATCCCCAGACACTGGCACGAGCGCTTTTTGTTCCTCTGGGGATGTGCACCCCCATTTCCTTTAACCCACTGCCATTTGCTCTGTGACAGCACACCTGATCCACTTTGTCATTCTCCTCTTTGTTGCAGGAGGTCCCCGAGATGCCCGGCACGGGCCATCTGACGAGATCCCACTCGGAAAATGCCATTTCTGTGAAGGAAATTATCACGGAGATAGAGTCAATCAACCAAGCAGCAGGACCTGCCCAGCAGAAAGAGGGTTCAGCCAACCTCACCCAGACACCAAAGAGGAACACGGTGCATGACCTGCCAGTGGAGGCCATTTGGGCATTGGAAAAGGTGGAACAGAGCGAAGGAGCCTCTGCTGGACACCAGGAAAAGGAAAAGGACCCTCTGCAAGCTGAGCAAGAAGCTGCCCCCTCCCTGCAGCCATCTTCTGGTAAATCAGACCCAGAGGAAAGCATCCCTGGGGTGGAGCAGCAAGAGCCTCGTGGTTCCATCAACCCTGAACCCAAGTGGTGTCCTGGCTCTGTCCGACGAGCCACCCTGGAGTTCGAGGAGCGCTTGAGGCAGGAGCAGGAGCACCAACACGTCTCCCCGGTCTGCGTCTTACCCACCCGCAAGAACTCCAGGAATGACTCTCCCGCCACTGC